AAAAAATACTGTCTATCATTTTATAGCCTAGAATTTTTATCTATGATCATCATAGGCCTCTATCCATGCGTTTTTGCTCACTAATATTGGCCATATTTGATAATGTATGCTAGGCCTCAGTCTTGACCAAGCATGGTACTTTTAATGAGGCATATTGTTGGCTGATGCAATAACTTCGTATAAAATAGGTCTCGAACCTATCATTAAATATGGAATAAGGATTCCATTCATCCTAGGTCGCATAAGTTAGTGACTGAATGTTACATTTTCATACAATCATATAAATAGGCCTTACGTTTCCATTGAAGTTAACTCAGTCTTGCTTCCCAAAATGTGGGCTACAGTTTCGACCCCGCAGCGGGAATCGAACCCGAGTAGTGCAGTGTAACCTCCAAATCACAGCGATAATCCTTGGGTCGCAGGGTAGACGTGAATTTTAAGTAAGACCTTATCCCACTTATAATGTTAGTGAGACGAACTGTATTTCGACATTATAATCGACTACATAACTGAAATTCGAAATTTCAGGTTGGAATTTTTAATCAAGATAACTTCGTCACATATAGAGACGCTAGTAGGTTGCTAGCGTGCCACTTGTTCGTTTATTTTCAAATATGCTGGAGGAAGACTTGAAAATGCGCATGAATCTTGCTTTTGAAATATGGTATTAGAAGACCACTTAGCCGAAGGCGCTAAGAAGAATTCATCTCTCAGTCAAAGCCATGAAATAAATGAACACATTGGGAAAAAGAAATTTGAAGGGATTTAATTACTTAACGCAGCAAGACGAACGTTTTGGGGACATCTTAATGCAGTGATGAGAAAAGAAGATTCTATTAAGCTCTTCTAGGTTTAAAGCTTATTATCGCCAAATAAAGTAATGATATAAATAAGCACTAAGTTGACACCTTTAATTGTCCTCTTTCAGAGTAAATATCTAATGAAGTCAATGACTCTGTACATGAATATATTTCCTTATTTAGCATAAAATTGTTTTTTACCAAATTACCAATCATTTAAATTTCCTTCACCCTAAGGGTTTGAATTAATCCTTACGGTGGGAATGTACCGAGTCAATGATCTGTGGCTGGAAATCACGAACATTATGGCAGAGGACACAGGACTAGGTACGTTTCACAAGGTCTCCTTTACACTGCGACCAAGCTGTGAAAACAAGATCGTACTAACACTATAAGGCTGCGACCAAACAGAAGGCCACACCATCTTGGCCTTCATAACTGCAATGCCTAATTTTGCCTGATTTGAAACAGATTTAAATATTAAGGTAGTATTTTACACATGTAGAGCAAAAGAATGCGAGCTTCGTACAGCCAAAGAAACCGATCTAGCTTAAATCAGATGGCCTGCTAATCGAAAAGAGTCAAGAGAAGTAAATATATTTATCTCAAACGAGTTTGGCTGTTGGAACAAAATACATACATACTATACTAGAAATAAAAAAATTTTGAAGGTGTAACTACGCCTATCAATAATATGGTAGGGTGAATGAAATTAAATTTCAAATTTAATCTTCTAAGTTCAGAATAAATTTGATGTTCGAATTCAGGTTGAAAAAATATGCTAAAATAATCACAAGTAATCAAATGGTAATAAAATAAAGAAAATTAAAGGATGTAAAATGGATTCCAAGTAAGCAAAAGATAAATATAAATAAAATTCGTTTCATTGGTTAGAATGAATTGTGACTCATTGTATTTTCCATCGTGCTGAGAACACGGATGCGGCCCCAGAGAATACTCTTGACAATTGGTCTTTTATTCCGTATTAGATTATTAAGTGTAAGGGATTTGCAGATTGGTCTCGTAGGAAACCGAAAAAAGATTGCTTTCCACCAAACTTTTCACGAAATGAGGGCTCCAATGATATTACATGTAAAGAATATATGGAGCCTAGCTTTTCATAATATTTATGAGTTCTTTGGCATAATTTTCATAAGAAGAATATAGAATGAGTAAAAATAAAGCTCAAAATACCTATAGAACAAATCTCCTAAAAGAAATATTATCATCAGAAAATGTGGCATCAAATCATCAGAGCTTAATTAATTATGCCCGATAATAGTACTCAAATAAACTTATCAGTAGATGTAAATATTTATAGCCTCTCCATTTATCAGCTTTGAGCGAAAAAGCAGCTGACCTGAATAACATCCAGCACAGCCATCACACGCCCAGTCAAGCCGGAATGCAGTCTTATCGACCTCGCCAGAGTAGCAAGAGCGATGCGACCAAGTAAGACAGATACTGCATTGTATTAGCGGATCTAATGAAGATGGGTTGGCTCGAGTCACCGGAGTGATCGGCTGAAGAGATAAATCAGTATTCAGGTTGGTGGATGAAGAATTGGGCTGAGCCGGCAGACAAAAGCGAAGGCCACATCGGTGGCACGAGAGGAGGCGAAAGGGTGTGTACGTCAGTTGGCTCGGACTAAGAGGAACGAGTAGCGGACACTGGATAGCTGGACCTCTGGATTAAGCGATTGAGAAATTATATATATCAAGTAGATAAAACCGATAGACATAAAAGACCAAGAAAAGGTTAGGAGTTGAGAGAGAGTAGTGGACCAATGGACCAAATAAAATCAAAATATTCTCTCGTAACAGCATAGCATATTGAGTAGTTTTTCGTTAGATGTCATTAGTATTTAAGAGTTTACATCCCAAAGGAAAGCGAAGCAATTCTGCTTGCTGACAGGCCGATTAGAATTCAGGAACACTTTCTAAAAGATTGGTGTAAAATAAGAATTGCGTGGGAATACAAATAATATAATTGACAATAAATTATTATTATTTGATATATAATTATTTGTCCATAAAAGTGAGCCAAGTACAAGAGCCATAATGAAGGTAATATGAAATACTATTCACCACCCCATGCTAGCAGAAGCTCATGTTTGAAGATGTTAGCAAATAGGTAAATGCAGCCTCCTTAAGTAAATTGATCGAAGAGACTTACTTTTTCAGGATGCCCGATACTTTTTTGCACAAGCAAGCTTATTTTTGAGTAAATTTTCGTAAAACAAAATTGCTCCGAGTTGTAGAACCCATTATCGTCGTTTCATTACATACGAGGCGTAAATACAGGAAAAATTGTGATTTATACCAGAGATTTTACTCACAAAATAGACTTGGCTCCATGATATTTTGATAAGTCAAATGTATGTGCCGTGTTGAGGAATGAGATTTGGTATACCTCCTAGCTCGCAACTCAAATATTCAAAATGTTCATGTGTTTGTATGTGCACAGTCATAATTTACAAATTGCTTAAAAGCTAAATTTATATTTCTAATTTTTGTATTGGTATCAATTCCTCAGTTTATTCCACAAATAGATTATTTGGTAAAACAAGACAAATAGGCAATTTTAACGTGAGCTTTCGCGTACAGAATTTATTCGTCAATATTTTCACATCATTGTATGATATTAGACCATATTAATAATCATCCTCATCTAGTGTCTGCTCAAAGAAGAAGTTTGGTGATTCAAAAATAATTTAAATTTGAAGAATCTCGTAAATTAATTAATTAATTTTAATTTAGGCTTACAAAAAGGTATAAAGTTGATGGGGGCCTCAAGGACCTTCGTCCCAAATGAATGAAAAGCTTTATGTAGTCTACCACGATGCCCACAGATAGAAGGAAAAGTAGGTACATGAGTTAACTAGTAGCCATAAAATACTGGCAAAATCTTCTGCCGATCCTTCTTCGGTTTATTAGCTACATCAAGGTGTGATTATGGAAGTGAATAAACCATAGAAGATAAACTGAACACGAGTCTCGAAACACAACCTTCATCATGTTTTGCTCTTCCAAATTTAAATTGGGAGGAGTAGCAGTTTTCCTTAAAAGCGTAAAAGTAAGGCAATCACATCTATGAGAAGGATCAATATCAATTATTTTTTAAGTGATTCAGAAGATATTGCCAATGAATACTTAAAACGCCTAAATAATACCTGCCCATTGTAGTTAAATAGAATAAAGAAAAGCATTTAGGGACGCTAAAGTTACAAAAACAAATCAGATAATCTTTATTCTTAAAGCAGTAAT